TAGGGGCTAGGTCCCCTCATCCTGGTGACCATCTTTTGGCCAAGGTTTCGTCATCCTTAGTGCCAGGACTTGCGGGGGAGTGGGCCTGCAAGGGCCCTTTGGTTTTGCAGTAGAAGGCTGGACTTCCGGCCCAGGGCTCAAGAGGCCCACGAAGCAGGGCACAGTGGAGATACACCCAATGACCCCCGGGTGGGAGAGGTTGGGGGCAGTGAGGGGACAGGGGTAGGGGGTGTCAGGAGTCTGGTTTCCACCAGGCTCCCTCCTCCAGCTTCTCCTCATCCCTTTGGCAAGAAGCCTGATTCCCCTGTCAGAACCTAATCCCCCTCCCTTTACCTACAGCGTCGCGGAGCCGGGTGGGGGAGGAGCCGCCTGCAACCCCAGGCCCTGAGCACTCCCCAGGGACCCCTCCTACTTCCACCACTCTGCTTTTGTTCGTCCTTAGAGAGCTTCTCGACCTGCTGCCCTCTTCCCTCCAGAAGTTCAAGCCTCCCCCACACCCCCTCAAGTAAGCTCTCCCATACAAAACCTGGACCCCTAAAACCAGGCCGAACTAGCCAGCTCCCTTGTTCAAATCTGACAGTGAATTGGCTAGTGCTGGGCGGGCCCATCCGGAAGTCCTTTCTCCAGTGTAACCTCCATCCCTCCTCTGCACAGCCCGCGCGGCTGCTTTATTTTTCTACACACCCATTATTCTTCACAGCGCAGAGGCCCGACCCCCAGGACGTCTCCAGACGTTCTCAGAGCGGAGCTAACTGCTCCAGCCCCTCTCCTTTGGCTGCATGCCCAGGACCCCTCCCAGTCCCGCCAAAGCCCCCGACTCCCTGGCCCGCTCCCGGTTCCGAGGGTGAGGGCTCGGAGATCTCCGCGAGCCTGCCCGCTCCACCCTTGGCCACGCTGGCAGGGAGGGGCCCGGGCCGGGACCCAGAACTGGGACCAGATGTGGGGCTTTGCGTCCTGCCTCGAAGGGAGCTGGGAGCGCGAGTGCAAGGCGGGTGGGCGCGGGGAGCGGGGCCACGTGCGCCGATTCAGCGAGAGCTGCTGGCCGCACCGGCAGTCAGGCCGCACCGGCCTCACGGTCGCCGGCTCCCGGCGCCGCATCCAGTTCGGCTCCGCTGCTCTGCGGTTTCCGGTCTCGGGTCTCCGGATTTGTCTCCGAGGCTTTCCCACCTGACCTCCCTTTCAGTTTCTCTGTACACCCTGCCCCCAGTCCACTGGGGTCCCGTCCACTCCCACTCGGGTCTCTGCAGGGAGCAGTGCCCATACCCACCCCCCTTTGATCTTCCACTTCAAAGCCGCTCTCCGAGGGGCGGCCGCTCCTTCCGCAAGTTTTACGGCCCAGGACGGTGACACCTGAGACCCTGCTCCGCCCCCTCCCCGGCACCCAGCCTCCTCCAACCTAGGTGGCGGCACGGCGCGCCGGGGCTCCGCGCCTCCGTCCCCTCCTCCCTTCCTGGCCGCCGATCGAGACCCCCTCTGGGTGTGGGGTGTGGGGTGTGGGGGAGCTCTGCGACCGAGAAAGCGCCTTAATAAAGAGCTCGTGTCAAGTGATTGGCTCTGACCTCTGCCCTCGCCAGCCTTGAGCCCCAGGCTCCTGCTTAACCCTTCGATGTCCGCGCGGTGCGGTAAGAGGCGTCTACTCCCAGCGTGCCTAGGCACTAACCTAGCACGTAGTGGGGTCCCGAGGTGGGGGACCGTGCTGCCCCCTCTCTGCCTCTTCGAGTCGTTCCAGCAGGGGGCGCCGTTGCCTCACTGAGGTGCCTGACCCTGGAACCCCAGGGCTCTCCAGGCACTTTTTGAATTCGGAGCCGTGCCACTGGATCCAGCTTAGGCTTCCATGAGGCCAGAGCTGGAGCGCCGGTTCCCTTCCCCAACTCCAGCTCAAGATCTGGGGATTCACCCGCTGGTGATGTAGTCGGGTGTCTGGCGCCAAGGTGTCCAGTGCACCGAGTCAGGTTGGGGACGGGCGGGGACTGGAGAGACGTGGCCCTGTGGTTTCACACTACAGAACGTGAGACCGGAGCATCTACGCCCCTGGCTGGACGCCCACTCTTCAGTCGAAGACACAATTCAAGCGCTAGCCTTCCGACCGCCTCCCCATCCACCCACTGGCGCAGAAGGCTGTTGCGGCCCAGGGAACCCTGGACCCATCCCCCTCTGGTCCATAGCTAGATCCGCCCCGGGACGAGCCTTGGTTTGTGCGCTTCAGGGTTCCGCGAGGGCGGCGGCGACATCTCTTGATTAAAAGACTCAGCGTTCAGTGCTCCAGCCGTGAGACCTAAGGGATCCGCCACCGCGCCGCAACCATGCCCAACTTCTCTGGCAACTGGAAGATCATCCGATCAGAAAACTTCGAGGATTTGCTGAAAGCGCTGGGTAAGATGGTTTTCGAGCGCCCAGAAGGGGCGAGGGGGACGCCACAGTCTTCGGAAATGAAGATGGGAAAGAAAGGGTGGAGTGGGAGGCGGAATCAGAGCGTCGGAGGCTGGGCGCCTGCATCTTCCGAAAAAGGGGCTAGTCCCCTGGGTCCCCCGGGGCGCTGAGCCCGACGCGCAAATCCTGCTCTCTCCGGGGTTGCCCACCAGTGCTGGCTCCCGCGGTGACTCAGCCTGTGAATCAGAAAAAAACCAGAAGCACGAGTCCGGTCTCCAGGGAGGGGGGGCGGCTAGCCTGGGCGCCCTGACCCGCTGACCAGGGCGGGGCACCTAGTCGCAAACCCTGCGTCCAGGCTGGGAGCCCGGGTCCCTACCCTGCGAGCCCTTCGGGGACATTCCAACCTCCTCTTGCCGCCACGGGTAACCCAATCGCCAGGCAGGTTTCTTACCCTCTGAACCCGGCTCCGCCTACCAGGTAATCCGCCCCAGCGACCCCTGGCCCCCCTTCATTTCCCCTTCTGCACTTTCCACTCTGCTCTCCCCACCCCTCCATATGTGAGACAAATACTTTCCTACAGCCTGCAGTTCCGAGTCCTAAAATCGCTCTGGATGATTATCACTTTCTTGGATTTCAACAAATGGCTTCGTGTGAAACCCTAGTCCCCCATTTCCGAAAATCTGGTTCCCGCCCAGAGCTGCAGCCCAGCTGGGTGTGTTGGTCAGAGGTGGGGGAAGCTGAATCAATCCATGTCCTTAGCCCACCTCCTTCATGCTCTGTGGAATGGGGCTGGGTAGAGGGTATGGAAGAGACAGAGCCAGGATTTGATGCCTGGGAGCTCTGGGGAAAGGTGGAGGTAGGTGAGGGCCCCAGCAACTGGGAAGAGACCTGGTAGGCCTGGAGCCAAAGAGTGAGTATGCAGTTTCTGGACTCAACAGGAAGACCCTGGGTGGACTAGAGGCTGGGAGGAGGCTGGAAGGAGGGCACCCTGTGGGGCAGGGGCCTAAGAATGAATCTGGGCCTCTGAAGACTCTGGAAGGCTAAGAGGAAAGCAAGTTAGTTCTTCCTGCAATCTAACCACAATACGTCTTGTCACATCGTCTTTATCGCTCTGCCCTCGCTGAAATCAAAAACCAAAGGATAGAAATCTTCCTTTCAGGGACCAGCAGTTAGCGTAATGGCTATGTCGCTGGACTCCCATGTAGTTGGCCGCAGTTCGAGTCCCGGACCTGGTGGCTTAAACTCACTCCGGGCGCATGTGCGTGTGTGCCTAAGATCCTGAGGGGAAAATGGAGGAGAAGGGATTGTGGCACAGTCATCTCCCCGGGGGGTGATTTCTTGCTTTCTGTCTCTGTTTTTCTCTTTTTGGTGAGCGCACGCGCCCTATAGCAAAAACCTCTTCAAAAAAAAAAAGAGAAACCTTCCCTTCAGAAAGCAGAGATGCCACTCCTCCCCATCTCTGGACCCGGGCTCCTCTCCCCAGTGGATGAGGTGGTGTCTTGGCCCACCCCCAAGCCCCAGCTGGAGGATAGGATCCGAAGCCCAACACTGTTGTCTGTCTTCAGTCTGTTTGTCCTCCCTGCAGGGTCCCTCAGCGCCACGTGCCCTCCTCAGGTCCCGCCGGAGGGGCAGATTGAAAACAGACCTGTTAGACAAACACAGTTCTGAGTCAGCCAAGGTCGGCCTGCTGGGCCCTGCTGGCCTCCAGCTCCGTGTGCACCAGGGCTAGCTGGAGGGATGTTTCCTCTGACCCAGCCTCGCCTCTGCAGGGACCCAGCCCCTTCTCACCCTGTTCTGCCCTATTGTCCAGGGGGCCACCTCCTGGTGAGGGAAGCTCAGGTATTTGGGGGTGTCTGTCCCATCCAGCGTGCTGCTCATGGCCAGAGCAGCTTCGGGACTGTGACGGAAAGCTGGGTGTGAGATGTCAGGGCTGACTTCAGGCAGCAACAGAGAAGGGGGCTCTGTCGGAGAAGATGGGTCTGGGTGTGTCTCCTCTTCTGAGTCAACTGGCCCTCCGTCATTTCTCTGTGGACCTGGAGACCTACAGTCCAGAAGGGGGCTCCCGAAACTCCTGAGGGGCAGGGCCTCCTCCCGCCCTCCCTCTCCCTTCAATTTTGAAGAGGGTGCTCTGGTGCTGAAGGAAAAGAGGATTTGCTTCTCTAGGAAGCCAGGCCTGGAGGAGGGCCAGGGCGTGTGGGCCAGACAGAGGGCAAGGAATCCCAGCAGCCTGGCTGGGCCCAGCATGGCCTCACTCCCCCACTGTATCCCTGGACAGTTCTGCTCCAGTTTGGGGCAGCAGGCTAGGCTAGGTGAGGGGGTGCGAGGCTTGGGCCTGGGCCCCATCCTGACATGCCTCCGAGCCTCCTCGTCTTCCTAGCAGAGGGAAGCTCTCCCCTGCTGCCCCCACCCCTTAACAAGGGGACCAGCAGATGGCATAGTGGTTACATCGGTGGACTCCCACATAGTCGACTGCGGTTTGAGTCCCAGACCTGGAGACTTAAAACTCATTCCGAGTGCATGTGTGTGTGTGTGTGTGTGTGTGTGTGTGTGTGTGTGCCCAAGATCCCAAGGGGAGAATGGAGAAGGGACTGTGGTGTGGCCATCCCCCACAGGGGGTGATTTTTGCTTTCTGTCTCTCCAGCAAGCACACATGCCCTACAGCAAAAAAATCTCTCTAAAAATTTTTTTTAAATAAATAACTAGGAAGCAAAGAGAAGGGTCTGTTCTGGGAAAGACTACAGGGGAACACAGGGAGGCTGGATCCACAGAGGCTGAGCAAGAAGGCCTGACCACCTGAAGTGGTGGGCAGGAGTTCTGGGGCAGGGACACATTGGGGTAGGCAGGGAGCAGTGTCCTCTCCTGTCCCTTCATGGGGCAAGAGGGGGTTCTCCTGAGGGAAGAGGCACAAGGAGCCTAATGCAGGGACCTTTGAGCCCAGCTGTGAGTGACCCCCACTTTCCAGGCCATGAGCACTGGGGCCTGCTGTGGAGGCCTGCTGTGTGCTGGGCACAGGTGAAGACCGAGTGCCTCCTATGAGCCAGGGTAGTCCAAGGGCCACAGTGAGATGAACCAGGCTGAGCCCATGACAGGGTGCTCACTGGGCAGGAGCCTGGAGAAAAGCCACCCGCTGCACATTCTGAGAGTGAAGGCCTAAGACATGGAGAGTCCCACCCAGGCCTGCTCATTCAACAGGGGGTTGCAGCTAGGAGCAGGCCTCCTGAGGTCAGGGGACTACCCTATCATCTCTGCGGCTGCTCCACCAGCCATCTCCTTCAAGGTAACTCCCTCGACCCCCGGCAGGCTCCCCACATCCGTCGCTGTAGCAGCAGCATCCAAGCCAGCAGTGGAGATCAAACAGGACGGGGACACCTTCTACATCAAAACCTCCACCACCGTGCGCACCACCGAGATCAACTTCAAGGTCGGGGAAGAGTTCGAGGAGCAGACTGTGGACGGGAGACCCTGTAAGGTGAGTGTCAGGAGGAGGCCCCTTGGGGTCATGACCTCTACTGCCTGCCTCTACTGCCATTTCCAGTCTTTTCTAGATTCTTCTCTATTCTCAACAGAAAGTTCCTAGGTCGTAGTGGGAATAGAAAGGGGCCATCCCTTCTCTCTCTCGGCTGTGCTGTCTGGCTAGAGGCTGGCTCACTCGGCCCCCGTCTCTTGCAGAGCCTGGTCAAGTGGGAGAGTGAGAACAAGATGGTCTGTGAGCAGAGGCTTCTGAAGGGGGAGGGCCCCAAGACCTCCTGGACCAGAGAACTGACCAATGATGAAGAGCTGATCCTGGTAAGTCCTGCCTCCTCCCGCCGTTGGCAAAGCCAGTGCTCCCCACGGGAGTTTTCTTGGGAGACTCCGGGAATAGGAACTTCAAAAACCACCCTGGGGCCAGCAGATAGCATAGCGGTTATATCACTGGACTCCCACATGGCCGATAGCGGTTTGAGTCCCGGACCCGATAGCTTGAAAATCATGCTGGGTGTGTGTGCGCGTGTGCCCAAGATCCTGGGAGGAGAAGAGAGAAGGGATTATGGCATGGCCATCACCCTGGGGGCGGGGTGATTTCTTAGTTTCTCACTTTCCCTATCACTGTCTCTGTCTCTCTCTCTCCTGTGAGCACGTGCAACCTAAGGCAAAAACCTCTAAAAAAAAGAAAGAAAGAAAGAAAGAAGAACCACCCTGATCTCCCCACCCTCCTGCTGGGGCTCCTTCACAGGACTAAGCTATCCCTACCCCATATGGTGCCCTCCCTAGGGTGAGTTAGAAATCATGTCTCCAGGGGGACCAGCAGTTGGCGTAATGGCTATGTCGCTGGACTCCCATGTAGTCGACCACGGTTTGCGTCCCAGACCTGATGGGTTAAACTCACACCGGTCACATGTGCGTGCGTGCCCAAGATCCCGAGAGGAGAATGGAGGAGAAGGGATTGAGGCATGGCCATCTCCCCTGGGGGGCGATTTCTCGCTTTGTGTGTGTCTTTCTCTCTCTGGTGAGCACACGCACCCTATAGCAAAAACCTCTCCAAGAAAAAAAAAGAAAGAAAGAAAAGAAAAGAAATCATGTCTCCTGGGCCAGCAGGTGGCGTGGTAGTAAAGGCACCTGAATCCCACATGGCTGACTGTACAGTTTGAGTCCTGGACCCGGTGATTTAAAAACATGCCATGTGGGGGACCAGCAGGTGGTGTGGTTAAGGCGCTGGACACTCCCACATGGCCGACCAGGGTTCAAGTCCTGAATCTGGTGGCTTGCTTTCTCGCTTCCTCTCTCTCTCTCACTCTCACCCTCTGTCTCTCTCTGGTCAAACTAAAATATAAATGAATGAATAAATAAAATAAAATAATAATTAAAAAAAAACATGCCGTGTGTGTGTGCGCGCGCGCGTGCACACATGCACACGCGCGCATGCCATGGCCTAAATCCCAAGAAGAATGGAGAAGGGATTTCTACATGGTCATCCCCCTTGGGGAGTGATTTTTCTCTTTCTCTCTCAGTCTTTCTCCTGAGAGCGCATATACCCTATAGCAATTTTTTTAGGGGGAAGAGGTTTTTGCTATAGGGCGCGTTTGCTCCCCAGAAAGACAGAGAGACACAGAGACAGAAGGCGAGAAATCACCCCCCAGGGGGGATGGCCACACCGCAATCCCTTCTCCTCCATTCTCCTTTCGGGATCTAGGGCACGCACACACACCACCTGCCGTGAGTTTAAGCCACTGGGTCTGGGACTTGAACCACGGTCGACAACATAGAGTTCAGCGACATAGCCATTCGCCACCTGCTGGCCCCCTCATAGCAAATTTTAAAAAGAAAGAGAAATGATGTCCTTTTCGTGAACATGCACTGAAGGGCCCAGCAGTTCTCCAGGAGGATCTTCCTGGCTTGAGGAGGTGGGTGGTCCCCTGGGGCTTTATTCCTTTCCCTCCAGTGATGCCGGCCATTCTAGAACCAGCTCCTCCCTGCGGGTCTCCAGCCAGGAAGCAGGTTTGAGTGGAGGCCAACCGAGTCCCTCCTCTCAGTCCTCCTTCTCCAAAGCCACGGGATTTCAGAGGCTCCTTGGGCTAACCACCACTTCTGTCCCTCTAGACCATGACGGCGGATGACGTGGTGTGCACCAGGGTCTACGTCCGAGAGTGAGGCGCCATGGGTCCAGGAGCCAGCGGAGCCCACCCCACACGCTCACCGCCCGCCTCCCTGCCCCGGGCCCTCACCCTCCTGCCCACTCCCTCCCTCTAGGCTAGCTCTCCCTGATCCTGGCTGCGGCTAGGGTCTCTGACTTGCCTCTTGCAGGTCTTGCTTTCTTCATCCCCCTTCTCCCTTCCCTGCACCGCAAAGAGCGATGGATTAAAGAGTCCCTCCCCACGTCCGCCATCCCAGCCCCAAACAGCCAGAGTAGGATCTCTCTCTCTGGGAGGAGACCCAAGAGCCTGAGTGAGAAAGCCTGGCCTCTGACCTCCACTCTTAGTCCCTGTAGCCTGTATGGTTTAGACTATTTATTTGTTAATTTTATTAAAATGCTAAAAAAAAAAAAAAAACCTGCCTTTGGCTCATCGTGGGGGGGGACAAGTCTGAGTTCAGCGTTGCTTCTGACTTGTCCCGCGGTAAAGCGGTTCCAGGTTCCAGCCTCCTGTCCCACCCCTTCATTGCCGGTTGAATCCTCAAGCACCCCCTCTGCGGCCTCTCCTCCAGCATCCTTGGTCCCCTGCTCTGGCTCCCGAGGTCCCCAGGCCACCTCATCTTCCTGATCTCAGCCGTAGCACTGGGCTCAGTGATGGTGCCCAGCTTCCTCCTTCTCCAAGTGCCGCTCCCTCTCCCCTCCAGCCTGTTGTGGGTGGCGCCAGGCCTGGCCTCAGCCTCCCTGCGGTTCCAGGTGAGCTCACCCACACCCACGAGCTGGCCTCGCTCCTGCCTGGGTCTCTTGGCCAGAGGTCTCATCTGCCATCAGCCCCATCGGATACCAGCCACCCCATTCCTCCCTGCCTCGAGATCTCCCATGCCCTTTCTTCCCCACGGTCTAGGGGGGTCGGGCTGTGGCACAGCAGTGGTGCGACTAGACCCATGTGGGGGGGTTCTGGGTTTGTGTCCTGGATGGTGCTGGTGATGTGGGCCAGCTGAGACTGGGAACAGATGGGGGTACAAAGACTGGGGTTACTGTGTTCTCCTAAGTCCATCACGATCTAACTCCTGCCTTCCCCAGGCCACGGCCCTCTCCCGGGCTTCTCTGCTCACCTGCTCTCTGAAGCAGCAGCAGCTCCTCCCTGGAGTGCTTGTCTTGTTTTCTCCACTCTCACAGCCTGACGGTGAAATGACCACAGGTGTTGGAGTGGGAGGAGTTCGGATCCCGATTCTGCCGTTCACAAGTTGTATGCTTTATTATTTATTTATATAATTTATTTTTTAGGGACATTTTTGGTATAGGGAGACAGAAAGTAAGTCGCCCCCTGGGGGGTTGGCCACCTGCAATCTCTTCTCCATTTTCCTCTCAGGATTTTGGGCACGTGCACACACACACACACACACACACGTACGCACATGCTGGCGTGGGTTTCAAGGCTCTGTGGGGCTTGAACCACAGTCAGCCACGTGGGAGTTCAACAACACAACCATTATGGCCATCTGCTAGTCAAACGAGTTGTACGATTCCTAGCAAGTTAGTTTCTCTGAGCCAGAACACTAAATAGGGCTGATCTCATGGCCTGGTGGTTGAGGCATTCTGGATCCCACATAACTAAGCTGTACAGCCCCAGCGGCCTGGAAAACACACCGGGCGTGTGTGCATGCATATCCAAACCCCAGCAGGCTGGAGAAATGAAAGAGGAGCTACAGCACGTCCACGCCCCCTTGGCAGTGCTTCCTTCCCCTCCTTCTGCCTCTGTCTCTCTGTGGCAAGTAGACGTGCCACCTGGCAATTTTTGTAAAAAACAAAACAAAAAACAAAGGCCAGTGGGTGGCATGGTGGTTAAGGCACTGGACTCACACATGACGCCCTGGTTTGAATCCTGGACCTGGTGGCTTAAAAATTATGTCTTCATGTCCCAGACATGGGACCAGCAGTTAGTGTAACAGCTATGTTGCTGAACTCCCATGTAGCTGATGGTGGTTCGAGTCCTTGACCCGGTGGCTTAAACTCACGCTGGGCGCGTGTGCATGCGTGCCCAAGATCCCGAGTGGAGAATAGAGAAGGGATTGTGGCGTGGTCATCCCCCTGGGGGGCGATTTCTCGCTTTCTGTCTCTCTCTGGCGAGTGCACATGCCCTATAACAAAAACAAAACAAAACAAAAAAACCTCTCCAAAATAAAAAATAGGCCAGATAGTGGTGCAGTGGGAACACAGCACTAAGGCTGATCCACCTCAGAAGCTTTCGGGTCTGCTTTTAGCAACTTTCCTCAACACACTGGGCATGTGTGTGCTCACGGTTTAGGGCTGGCTAAGCCTGGGGGTGGATCATGTCATGGACGCTCTTTGGAGTTACCGTCTCTGTTTCTCTCACACTCTGACTTGCTCACTCATGGAAGAAAGAAATAAACTTTAAAAATAAATGCATACAGGGGCGGGCAGGTGGCATGGTGGTTAAGGATGCTGGACTCCTACATGGCCGACCATGGTTCAAGTCCCGAACCTGGCAGCTTGCTTTCTCACTTTCCCTCTCTCTCTCTCTTGCTCTGTCCCTCTCTGGTTCAATTAAAATAAGTAAATAAATTAATTTTTAAAAATTATAAAAATAAATAAATAAATAAATGCATAGAGGGGATATTAGGCTGTGAGGGGATGAGGGAGTTGGGGGGCCTGCCGCACTCACGTCAGCCCACCTCCCCCAGTATGTGGTCCTCACGATCCCACGCCACAAGACCACCGTCTTCACGAAAGCCAAGGACTCGAGCACCGCGAGCTCGAGCTGAAGCATGTCGTCGAGGGCATCCTCAAGCAGCCGCCCGATGAGCAGCGGCTGGACAAGGATGACCAGCCCTTGGACGATGGCAAGACACTAGGCGAGTGTGGCTTTACCAGCGACACGTCATGGCCACAGACCCCAGCCACAGTGACAGATGACACCTTTCAGGCCCTCTGCATGGAGCCCTTCTCCGGCCCCATGGAGCTACTCAACTTAGTAAAGCCCCAGGACTCAGGAAGCAGCGCCAACAAACTGGCTGTACACGTGGGAGTCCAGCGACATAGCCATTGCGCTAACTGCTGGTTCCCGTGGCTTGCTTTTTTTTGGGAGAGGTTTTCGCTATAGGGCACGTGCGCTCACCAGACAGAAATATAGAGACAGAAAGAGAGAAATCACCCCCCAGAGGGGATTGTCATGCCGCAATCCCTTCTCCTCCATTCTCCTCTCGGGATCTTGGGCACGCACGCACACCGGCGTGATTTTTAAGCCCCCTGGTCCGGGACACGAACTACAGTCGACTACGTGGGAGTCCAGCAACATAGCCATTACGCCAACTGGTTCCCACGTGGCTTGCTTTTTCACTTTCCCGCTCTCTCTGTCTCTGTCCCTCTTGGGTCAAATTAAAATGAATTAATTAATTAATTATTTTTAAAAGAAGGTCATTAACTCCTCCCTGTCTATTTTGCTTGTTTAGTCTCTTTTGTGAATTGGCCACATTCAATTCTGTCACATAAAAATTCTCTCCAATTCGTAGGGAAGCAGCTTTGGCTGCTCCACGCTTACATAGTTGGAGTTTGAACTCCAAAAAGAAGAACCTTTTCCCAAGATTCAGGTCTCCAACATCCCGAGATTCATTTTGGTTCTACTTGGATCACATGCCATTCCTCAGACAAGTTGCTGTTGACAGGGTGACGGGCTCAATGTGTAGCCAGGCCTGGGCTTTATGCCACACCCCTGGCCAAAGAACAGGCTGGACTCTAGCATAATCTTTCCAGAATCCCAAGGGAAGGGAAAAAGCAGTTTTCCAACGAAGACGGTGAATACGAGTCTCCGGTTTCTAACGTATAAAATAGCAGTCATAGCTTTTCATCAATATGGCGCCAAAAATGGAGGCGGAAGCTCTTGCTCCTCCCAAAGCTGAAGCCAAAGCAAAGACTTCGATGACAAAAAAGGTAGCGCTGAAAGGCATCCACAGCCACAAAAAAAAAAAGACCCGTGGGGCCAGTAGGCAGGCAGCATGGTGGTTAAGGCACTGGACTCCTACATGGCCAACCATGGTTCGAGTCTTGGACCTGGTAGCTTGCTTTCTGACTTTCCCTCTCTCTCTCTCTCTGTCTTCCTGGTCAAAATAATAGTAATAAAATTAAATAAATATTTTATATACTTTTAAAATGATTCTTTTATTTAATTTTATTAAATAATTTTATATACCTTTTTAATGATTATTTTATTTAACTTTATTTATTATTATTTTCTAGTTTATTAAAGAGAGACAGAGAGAAAGGGAAAAGAAGACAGCAACACACTTGTGTTCATTGTGGATGTCAAGGCCAAGAAGCGCCACATCACACAGGCTGGGTAGAAGCTCTGTGATATTGACGTGGTCAGGCCTGACGGAGAGCAGGTGTGTGTACAACTGGCTCCTAACGACGCTTTGGATGTTGCCAATAAAATTGGGGTTGTCTAAACTGAGTCCGGTTGGCTAATTCTAAATACACTTTTTCACCATTTAAAAAAGAAATAACAATTGTAAATAACAGCTACTTCACAGGGTTTTATGTAAAATCTAAATAAAATGTCTCCTTAAACATGTAGCACTTAGCAATAGAAAACTCTCAGAGCCAGCAGGTGGCATGGTCATGGTGGTTAAGGCGCTGGACTCCCACATGGTTAACCACAGTTCAATCCCAGACCTGGCAGCCTGCTTTCTCACTTTCCCTCTTTCTCTCTCTGGTGAGCGCATGTGCCTTATAACAAGTTAAAATAATAATAATAATAAATACAATTAAATACATAAGTTTTTTTTTTTTTTTTTGAGAGACTTTAATTTTCGGAGGGCGTGTG